AGCGCAACATTAATTCTACTTATTTAGACTTTTTTCAAAACAAAATCGGCCGCGCGTGCTGCGCACGCGCCTTCTCATCTCGTCACGTAGGGGCGCTTCGGTTTCAGTCTTATGCTTACGCTTATTCGAGATTTTCGAGATGTTTCGAGATAGATTTCCTTTCTTCTTTTTAAGATGGGAAATAATTTTTTGTCTGGCAATGTCAATACACAGTGTTTATTATTATTAAATTCAAAAAATATAATCATTTTTTTAGAAGAAGGGAGGGCGCGAGAAATAGCTTTGTTCAGTTCTCTTTCAGTTTAATCATTCATTGAGTTCTTCAACTAGAGCCAATCAGAGAATTTCCTTGTTTATCCTCTGAAACCACTTTCGTCCCCTCTTTCCCTGATTTTCATTGTTCATGTTTTGTGAAACTGAAACAAGTAAAATTAGAAGATCACAAAACCTATCGATTACTACGCTTCCAGTCAGAAGCAAAAAAATTATGTCAACAGAAAAACAAATAATTTCGATCGACGAATGGATTCATCTGAGGTAACGAAAATAATCAGTGTAACATAAATGCATACGTAACTTACTGAGAAGTTAGTGAGGACCTTGCGCGCCATAATTTAAAATGGTCACAGACAAAGATCCACTTTCATTCTATTACACTATTTTTTAAATTCCCTCCCATCTTCAATGAAAGTAAGGCAGACAAGTTTATATCGATTATATTTACGTGTCAGGTATTTACCTTCGGGCAAATTGTTTGAAAGAATGCTGGAAAGACACGTGAAAGCCGGTCACGCCTCGTTGCTCATGGAGTACGAACACTCTCTAATGAGCCTTTTACACCTACTCCCCCCACCTACTCCTCCCACCTACTCCCCCGTCTTAATCCCTGTTTGCATTTATCAAGTCTCAAAAACGAGGAAAATTTTTTCACACGTTCCCAAGTAGGAATCGACGATAGAAACAGGGCTCATCAAGCCCTGGACCAGGGCTTGAAAATGCTCAATCAGGGCTGGGGCTCAGCCTTGGATCAGCCCTCCTTCAGTCCCAAAATGATAACCTCGTTGCAGACTTAGTCCGTAAGGCTTGAACCATGCTTGGTGCCAAGGCTTGGTCCAAGCCTTGAATTACAAAATTTTAAAGGCTCAATCGGACTTCTTTTAAATGAATCATATTAATGTTTACGGATATTTGTTTAAATAATTTCTTATTGCTTCATAACTCCTTTTATGAATTTGGAGCAACTTATGAAAAAGACTGACGGGACTATATATAGCTCCTCGTGTAGCTCCCTCTTGCATGTGAAATAGTATATTTCGTAACGAGTGCAAAAAAGTGTTTTTTGGCGAGCGGGAGGTTTATATCACGAGCCGAAGGCGAGTGATATAATCCCACGAGCTAAAAAACATTTTTTCACGAGTTACGAACAATATTTTTCATCACAATGTGACGGAAATTGAACTTTTAGGCACGCGGATGCGTGCCGAAAAGTTCACTTTTCGTCACAGCGTGATGAAAAGTTTGTTTTATTTGTTCCTCCTAAGGAATCTTTTGTTCGTCCTGGAAACACTCCCATTATCTTGAATAATTGCTATCTATCACTATTTTCTCAAGGGGGCTATATGACACTTTGGCTCCGGGAGAAAAAAAAAATTTCTATTTCTGCATTTCTGGGGTATCTGGGGGTTTCAGTGGCATTAGACGGGCCAAAAAATACAAAATCAACGTTCACTCGGCGGAAAAATTCGATTTTGCCAAAAGTCGACTTTCCCCCCAAAAAAAACCTAAATATGACAGTTTGGCTCTGGGTGAAAAAAAAAATTATTTATGCATTTCTGGGGCATCTGAGGGTTTCAGTGGTATTGGACCGGCCAAAAAATACAGAATCAACGTTCACTCGGCGAAAAAATTCGATTTTGCCGAAAGTCGACTTT